GGCTTAGGGTTCAGGGTTTACATGGCTTAGGGTTCAGGGTTTAAGGTTTAGGGTTCAGGGTTTAGAGGGCTTAGGGTTCAGGGTTTAAGGTTTAGGGTTCAGGGTTCAGGGTTTAGAGGGTTTAGGGTTCAGGGTTTAGAGGGCTTAGGGTTCAGGGTTCAAGGTTTAGGGTTCAGGGTTTAGGGTTCAGGGTAGAGCCTCTTTGCAAGCTGTGTTGAATCTTTTCAGGGTTTAGGGCTCCAAACTGGGCTTTGTAGGGTTAAGGGTTCAGTCCCCTTTAGGGGTCTTTTTTGAAGGGTGCCGCACAAAATTGGGTGACCTAAAAAGGGACCCTAATGTAGAGAACTACCCTTACGGGGTTTTCAGGCTGTTGCTGGAACTCTGCCGCTTTGGGGTGGTGGGGTCTTTGCTAATCTACTATACTGTAGCCCACATAATTACCTATACTAACAGCTCGTCTGGTGCCTTCTTCTTCGGGTCAGGGAGAGGCTTGGCCGGCTGCGCTTTCCCCACCTGGAGAGATGGCGCTCCGAGGACAACTTCCTCTCTCGGCTCAAAAAACTCGGCCTGCGTGGCCATGACTATGTCAAGGGTCAGGAGGCGCGTGTACGCGTTGCTGCTCGGAGCCGGTGGCCGCTTCTCTTGCGGCTTCGGGTACAGACCCACCGCCTTCTCCAGTGGCAGCACCTGTAGCAAGTCAAGGCTCAGGAACAAACTCTGTCGGTGCGGACTCGTGCCTGCCTCCAGGAGAAGGTTTTGCAAGAGGAGGTTCACACTTGCCGCGTGGTCCCACAGAACGTGGGGTGCCACGTTGGGTTGCATCTTCTTTGCAAGGTCCGCCCGGAGCTCCTGTTGCAACTTCGGATGCTTTTCGTTTTAAAAAATATGGGACCTACGCTTCGGTTTTCCGGCGTCCTTCGGGGAGGGTGGCTTCGCCTTGTACATCTCGAGGCGGTTCCTGTACTCGGCACAGCCACCGTTGGAGAGGCGGACGAGCTCGTACAGGACCTGCCAAGTGATCATGGCGCGAAACTACATTTTTGAGTTGGTGCCGCTGGCCTTCTCCTTCGAGACGGGCAGCGACCGGGAGCAGTTGTTGCACCGACAACCCTCCTCGTCGCCGCACACGCCAAGCTGCGCCAGCTCCAGCTCGGTCTCTGGCAGGCGTGCCATGGCAGTGTGGCTGTGAGGGGAGGGGGCAGCGAGAGAGAGCTGAGCGAATGAGCGCTGCAAATCCCAGGGCTTTAACTAGCCTGCACACACTTTCGCGCTCGCTCGATGGTCGGCTAGTAGCCGACCTTCTCAGGTTTGGGTTCAAGCTTTGCTTCGCAAGAGATCGGTAGAACGAAGTATGGAGCCTGCGACGCGTATGTTCGCTTCGTGTGGCAGTACGTACCAATAGGAACAAAGCGAACTGGAAGTTTAAATGTTAACATGTCGCTGCATAGAGTCTGCGATCTGCGCATGCCTTGATGTTGTGTGCTCAAGTCGCATGTGTTGCACGAGAATTTTCAACCCAAGCTGCAGGCACGCATTAGGAACAAGTAGGCTGCTTCTACATTCCAGAAATCACCCAGCCCGGAAGCAACGCACGCAACACCCAAACCCTCATCGAACGCCGTGCAGGTTCCATGCCTCCTCTCCGTCGGACACGACGCCTCGCTGGTTCCTCCGAGCCTCCTGCCGGCAGTTCTGCGGTTCCTGTAAGAAGATAAATAAATAAATAAATAAATA